CACAAGCGTTCATTCACCCGAGCTATATACCCCTCCAAAAAACGAATATTGTTGCAACTTATGCAAGCTACGAACGAGAGACTGCCACATGTATGCGGCTCGTACGAATATAATATTCGGAGGACAAATCTGCAAACGTCTCACAACTGTCCTGCCGACAGCCGTGAGACAGTTGGTAGACAGTCGTGCGACAGTCATAAGATTGGGACCTAAAAAAAATTCTTCTAATAGCCCACGACAAAGATATTTACTCGCACGACATCGCAAGACTGTCGTAGGACAGATCTCACGACATCAGAAGACATAGATACCACAAAAATCGTGGAAGCAAAAAAGGTGATAGATGCAATTGGTTGCCTCACGACGCAAAGGCGATTGCCACGATGCTCCAAAATTTCGTAGGGGGCCACACCCTGTCTTCGCGCATGCCCCCGATATGACCCCATATGCCCAAATTTCTGTACGCGCCCACTGTCGTCCCGGCACAGAACGGCCCCGACTCCCGCCCCTCCGGGGCTCGTAGTACCGGGCTACACTCACGGATTGCCAGGACGCTCCTAGATAGGTTTGAAGTCGCCGCGGTCTCGTATCAGATGACCAGAAAAAAACCTGATTTGCAGTCGGTGAGGCGGTGATCGAGGATTTTAATCTATCGTATAAAAAATAAATAGGTGGTCTGATGCCGAAATCCAGTGTGGCGAATGCCCGGACTTTGGTGAGCAAGGACAAGCACGAATACGCCGAGGGGATTTTAAGTGCTTATGCACTTCCTTATTTCTGTAAACGAGCCACATACGCCGAGGCATTTTCTTCGGGCGGTGGTGTGTTCACTAGGACAGTAAAAAATAGCTGTTAATTGTCTGTGCCGAAATTCTATGTGGCGACTGGCGCGGACTTTCCGTGAGCAGCCAATCACCGAATTACCCGAGGGATTTAAGTGCTTATTTACTGTTCCGTATTGTAAAGCTAGCACACTACGCCGAGCATGTTCTTGTGTTCCCTGACAGGATACACCAAAAAGGCAGGGGGGGCAAAAAACATACCCAGCATTCCAACCTCGCTCTTTGCTCGCTTTGCATATAGGTGTGAATGAGTTACGAACCAAGTGTTTTACTGTGGGCACGTAACCAGCTAATTCCAGGTAGTGAAAGTAAAAGTTATTGTAGCTGGGCAGAGTCACGTGCTTGTATGGTTAGCGTGTATTGTGACTACGTCGTGTATAGTCAGACGAGTAAACTGCCACGTATGAAAGTACATTTGCGAGTTCATTATAAATATTTGTGCAATAATGGCTTATGAGAATATGAGACCGAGCTATTTAACATAGACTGCTTCCAGTTTGTCCGAATCCGCGAGGCAGCTGATATACACGCTTATGTAGTACTGTGGGATCGCTAACAGAAAGCGGGAAGGGGGAATTCGACACACTACCTACACAATCGGTCAGGGACAGCCGGCGATGGCCCACAAGACATTAGCAGCATACTTAAGAGGGGACATAATTTAACGTGACAGAAAGCATTGCAAAATAGTCATTAAGGGGGGTACCCTCAGACGGCAGTCGCGACCGGTCCAGGGGACAACGACCCTTGACACTAACGAGGGAACAGGTCAGATAACGAGGGAGGCAGATAAAAGACAGGGGTTTTGGTAGAAAAGGCAGAGACGCCAACTACAGCTTGGTATGTGTACACTGTTGCTATAGACCATCTGCAACCACGTCACTAAACCACGTGACGCTTTGTTTACTCCGCCATATTGGCCGTCAAGGTATTGTATTGTTGTGCTCTTTTCAAGTGAATATAATGGCGAATGTAAATGATAATATACTTTTATCCGATGCAGTAAATAGTTTAAATGATGAACATAAAAGTAGATATTTAGACAAACTTAGTATTATTGGGACTAGCGATCCTTATTTACTGCCAAAAGCGATGTTTGTACCTTTGATGTCCGTTAGCGATGCCGAGAGTTTGCCACGAGTGGAATACCCGGACATATATAATTATTTAGTTAGTACAACATCAGTATATACACACCAATAACTCAAGGCATACAAATCACTCGAGGGGTATAAATATTTTGTGGCAGGTTGGGTAAAAGAAGTGTTAGTTTACAAGACGAATAACAGTGTGTTCGTGATTCTTGGCAAGGTATGTTACTATGTAGCATTGTTTTTCATCGATTAAAAATTGGGGTCAAAGCCATACATAAAGTAAGCCAGGCACTCTAACAACAACAATAGTCGTACTGTTTAATTTTTTTTTTCAGGATTATGAAGTAACCCAGATAGCATGCTTACGTTGGGCCAACGTTGGCATTTGGTTGGCACGGTCACGGTTGGCAATATGACGTTGGGCCAACGTTGGACCAACGTTGGCACGGTCATGGTTGGCATGTGGTTGGCAATATGACGTTGGGCCAACGTTGGCGTATGGTTGGCATGGTCACGGTTGGCAAGTGGTTGGCTGCGTGCCGTTGGGCCAACGTTGGCGTATGGTTGGCATGGTCACGGTTGGCAAGTGGTTGGCTGCGTGCCGTTGGGCCAACGTTGGCGTATGGTTGGCAGGATGCTAGTTGGAAATGGTTG